GCCATACATCACTATGTTATCGAACCTTTCTTTCATGGTATATTTATGATCTGCGCATATGTCTGCATTCAGGTTTTACTACCAGTAAAAAGATTTTTGGCTTACATTCCATCAATAATTTGGTTTAAATTATGTCAATTCGTTTTCTATCCAACTGGCTGTGCGTTTTTTACACTTACCTACTTTTTCTATGAATCTGTATGGAAGCCATTACACAAAACACTGTCGGCAGTGTCACGATTATTCATCAATATGTTCACTTCGATTATAAAGACAGTTCATGATTTACTACGTGCAACTGCTTGTACAATTTCAACAGCAGGAAATGCTATCAAGTCTGCAATGCGTGCTATCTATAACTCGTTGAGATCTGTATGATCTTTATGCAATTGTATCCACATGTAAACATAAACTTAAATAAATTTTGTCAGTGTAGTTCTTGTGACATTCAAATATGATATCTGATCGAGCAATAATGTTTGTAGATAAAAGTACTAGTAGTCTTCCATATCACACTTCATAATGAGACTAATAAAAGATCATATTGCAATAAAGTGATGGACCTAATCTTTTAAAACATTTTTGTTTTTTGCTATAACTCAGCCGTCTTTAGGGTGTGAGTGTGGGTGTACGTTAACTAAATATTTCCATCCACACTCCATACCTATACCCTTTTTTAGTTTATTTTCGTCTCCTACGGTTCAAATAAAAACATCAAAATTCAGAGAGCATAATTAAAAATGCATGGCTTTTTTTAAAGTTTTTTTGTAAAACTTAGTAAAAATCGGCGGTTCATATTGTTTTTAAAACAAAAACACTAAGGAACCTAAACATTTTGCAGTAAAAGTAAAAGAAAGTTTTAGCTGAATCAAATGTACTATGATTAACGAACTAGGACAATTGTCCATTGTTTTTTGTCAAAGAATTTTTCAAAAAAAGCGAACTTATGTGTAGATTTTGATGTTCTTCAGCTTTCATAGTAATTCTTGAGATAGGTCTATTAAGAGGGTATGGATTCGGTGCTGATACAATCATCAGTCATAATCATAATCTCGAAGTACATATTATAGATTTGTTCAAATCTATACAATATCAATAAACATATTTCGGCTGACACATGAATTTTTGTTAAAATGTAATTTAATAAAAATTTCATTTGATGATAAAATATTCAAAGTTTTTTTTGACTTTCGAATTAAGTTTGAAAATTTTGAATCTCTATTATTTAATTTTTGAACTCACGTCAGTTGCTGATATTTGATCATATTTGTTTGTGACTTTTATTGTTAATTTCATCTTTCAAGATCGTTTTTTTTTTCATTTTTATTTCGAATAATCAAAATTACATCAATTAAAGAATTCAAATGATCGCACTTGATATCGATTGTTCTTTCGTACTTCATCATTCATGTATTTTAATACTTTTCGTAAATATTTTCTTGAAATAATAACAAGTTTTTTTATTTTATTCTTGTTATATATCTTAGATTGCTTTACTTCATTAAAGCAAGGATAATTCATATTTAATGTGTCTAAATATTTAAAATCAATTAAAAATAATGGTATAATTTGTGATACATGAGATAAAACTAATATATTTCCATGAGAACGTTCAATTTTTCCAACATTGTCACGTTTTGGTATTGCTGCACATCCTAAAAGAGTATTGGTAGCATTAACATATGATAATGAATAAACAGCTGAATGACTTGAATAAATTCCACTACCAAATGCTTGACCATTTGCTGAAACAATAGTAGGTGCTTTGCTATTAGATGGATGAACTTGATTTGGTATCAAAAATCCATAACGAAGAATACTTTCGATATTATTTAATTTTGTACCATGATAAACTAAATCTGGGAAGTAAGAAGTATTTTCATTTAACCTTTTCATAAAATCTTTTTGGACAGATTCGTTGATAGGTGCAAGACGAATATCAGTCATATCAATACTAGGATGATCTTGAAGAGAAGATTTTATTTTTCGATGATTAATACGATAAAAATGACGACGAAAGTTCGAAAAACTTTGAAAATGTTCAACTTCGAATATTTTCGAGGAACTTGATGACACATTTGATTGAACATCGATTGATTGTTTTGATAGATATGTTGATAGGGGATTAGATAGAATTGTTGATTTTACATGAAATTTTTCATCACATTCGAAAATCTTTGACTTTTTTAAAAAACGATCAGAACGAAATGATTTTTGTTCAGCTTGACGAGTTATTTTGTCGTTCATACAATTAACTTTAACTAGTTTTGGTTGGGATTTGAGAGCTTTCAATGAGATTGGACATGAAGATTTCTTTAATTTTTCTTTACTTTTTTTTAATTTTAAATATTGACGAAGTTCAAATCGATCAATTTGATAATCGATGTCGAAAGGATCTTGACTTGAATTATAATCAAATATATCATAATCACTATCTGACGCCATATTTTGACTATTCTAATAAATAAATCAACATTAATTATTATCAGTTTCAAAATTTCTATCTTGAGAAAGGTGATGTCGACATGCTTACGAATTTTGTTGTTTATACAATCAAGATGGAACTTTTCTTGAATGATAATTTTTCAAAACTTTAACTTATGTTAGGTCATCATTTCTATGTGTAGATATAAACGTACGATCAATATTCATTGAATACTATTTCTTCAATTCGAATCATCACTAGATAAAGCGATTCAATAAAATACTCTACAATTTTTAAAAAAATGGCTTGACAATCAATAAATATTGTGAAATGTTCAAAACAGAATAGATAATTTTAAAAAACAACGATAAATATGAAAGTTTTATAACGAATTTTAGAATATCATCATCGGAAGGAGTTTTAGTATTGAACTAACTGTTTTAGACGTATATCATTAGAACAACATTCTACAGTCTTAATTGTATAATCAACGAAGGAGAAAGCTTTATAGATGCTACTAACTAGACTGAAAGCAGACATATAGCTGAAGATGACGACGAGCAACAACACATAGGATTGACGATTAGCTGAAGATGAAGACTGATTTTTCATATTTATAGCTCTCTTTTGATAAAGTTAAAATGTATTATATACTACCAATAGATAGGTTCAGATAAATCTCGGTAGTCTCTCATGTATTGAACTGTGAGAAATTTACAATGAAAAAACTTACCAAATCTGTAGAAACTTGATAATACAATTAGAAGACTAGAAATAAAATATATTCTATTCTAAATGTATAATACAACAATAGAAAAAAAAAGCTTCAGCATATATAAAATATGATAGACATTACGAAAGAATAGCGAAAAATTACGAAATTTTCTGTTTCTTTTATGACATATATTTTTGATACAAAAGGTATTGAGAAATTCTGATTATATGAATCAATGAAGCTTTCCATAAAAAGACGATATTTTTTGAAGGAACGACGCGTCAGACATAGTAGAAGATTTTTTAACTAATTTAGTTTCTTACAAAATTGGAATTTTAGTTAGTATATTTACATTGAAACACATCTACCTTTGAGAGTTTTAGATTGAAAAATCGTAGAAAACTGTAGTCAATATTAATTCTAAACTTTATAAAAGTTAAAAATCTTTTCCCGATTCTCTCAAATGATTGTTATTATTTGAAAAGCATTTTTTAATTAAAATTTATGAGAATAAATAAGAGGTAATAAAACATTCAGAATCTTCTACTGTGGGTAGGGGTTCATTTTTTCTGCGTATTGTTTTGCATGTTTTTATTTTACATAAGTATTAAGAAAAACTTATTTCTATACTACTTTTTTTGATCTTCTTTAATTTGATCAATCTCATGAAATCGAAGCTGATTTCTATGCTTTGTAAGTCTATAGGCATTATTAATTTTATAGAAGAGATGTCACTCAAATGAAAGTAAAGAATAGTTTTATGATATGCTAAGAAAATAATCGAAAGATGAAATAGTTGGTTCCCGAAGTTCAAAATCATTTGATATGAAGAGAAGTATACTGTTTTAATTTGAGGGCATGGATAAAGTTTATATAATTTTTTAAATTGTTTTGAACTATCTGCTCTACTTCTCTTTTATTTATTATTAAAAAATATATGAAATTTTTAATCATTAGTTTGTGATACATCTTAGTTGTCTTCTAAAAGGATCAAAAGCAAATTCTAGTCAGTTGAACTTCCCCAAATCATCTTCTATTAAGTAATCGTTCTATATTTTTATTATAGCAGTTGAGTCAATGTTTTACAATAAAGAGTCTTCTCGTATACTACATGTCATTTCTTTCTGCATTGAAAATCAACTTTTCCAATAATAATTATCTTTCTTGAATAGTAAACGACCCAATAATGGAACAATGTACAAAACAACAACAATTAAGTTTCTTATTTATTTAAACCGAATATTAACAAAAAAAAAACATAAGATATTTCATTAATACATGTAAACGTTACTATCATAAATGTAATTTCGACCAGACAAGTTTTAACATATAATCATGAAGAAGTATCTTAGGTTTAAACGATATTTTCAAATTTTTGAACCACTTATTAATTGTTCCCAAGAAACACAATAAGTACAAATGACGAGTATTCTCTCTAGTATTTTCTAATAGAAATTATTTTACTGGTTCTAAATCCTTCATGTACATTTTTATTGTAAGATATTGTAGTTGAGGACATAAAGCAACAAGCATGCTAATTTTTTTTGTAATATATAAACTTCTTTAAAAGTCATATTTGTAATTCTATTTTTATTACTGACTAATCGAAAAGTTACACTTAGTTGAATTGACATATAATCATTTCTATAAAAAGGCATCGATTGAAATATCAATGTATGAACATTAGAAGTACAGCATAATAATTCGATTAGTTTTTCTTTTAAAGATAAATGGTAACATTCAAAAACTAGTATTTACAATTGTTCCGAAAGAAAAATACGACTAAGAATGTTTGAAATTGAATTATGAGTGGTACACAAAAACCAGTTTTGAAAGTAAGATTAGCAGCATTTGGAAAATAATTCATACAATCGATAATTTTCTCTTCCACTTTGAATTCGAATATAAAATTAGTTTCAGAAGAGTTTATATATGTTTTTTTCAGTCGATTTATGACATAATACGTAATGTTTTCTTCTAAAAAAGAAACTATCAATATATACATTCTATAATTAAAAAACTTATCTATTGATATCTATAGGGATCTATTGAATGGAATATTATCCGATCTGAATATCTTCATTCAACTGATTATTATTACTATTATTATCAGTTATATTGATTAGCCATCTTTTATTATTCATACATTTAGTGTCTCCATCATAATCTATTCAGACGTGTAAATCTTAAATTGTAGCGAAAAGATCGACGACCAGGTGTTCATATTTATTAAAACTTACACCATTCAATGTGAGAAAAATACGTGGCAAATGATTTAATGTAGGTAGGCGTGTTTTTGTTTGTTGTGTCCAATATTTTGACTGTAACTGTTAGCTATTTAATCGGATTTCACACCCTCAATAGTTGATAATAATGTATTATCATCATTATATACTCCTCCCTAAAATAATATAAAGTCCTATGTGGTATCAGTCAAGTTGGTAACCCCCATATATCTCATAAATAAGTTCATTAGAAAGATCTTCAAAATATGGGATTAATTTTCTTGATAAACTGGAACAAAAAAAGAAAATTTAGATTAAAGAATATATTCTAATGACTCATTAATTGTAATTTTCATTTCGTGTCTTTTTTTCTTTTGCTATCATCATAATTATGAAAAGATTCATGTATCGAAACTCGTAGAATTTCCTGATATCAGTCGTTTAAACGTTGAGAATTTCGAACCATTCATATGTAAAAAAATTCGTGTGTCGAAACTTTTGGAAGTTATTGATATCAACCGTTTAAACATTTAGAATTTTGAATTCTGGAAATTTGAAAAAACTCATATCTAAAGACTCTTCAAAGTCGATGAAACTAGCTGTCTAAACGGTTACAATCTACTATAAAAAAGATGTCTGAAATATTTGCTGCTTCACTATGTTGAGGTATTGAAGCATACGTTGTTTAAACATTTGAATTTTCGAAATGGTTAATTTAACAAATATGTGGAAAGAATAACGTCCAGTTCGTCTAACTTTGAAGTGTGAACATGGTTAGTAACTATCGCAGAAACTTAAAGCGTTTACATGTTAATAATGCCAGCTTTAGAGGTGTTCAAACGCTTGCAAATATTCAACAGACAAAATATGGACGTTTTCACCGGTGGAATTTTAGAATCCTGAGTGTTTACACGTTCATCTTTTTTTCTAACGCGTGTAGACATATAAACCTACATCCACTAATCATGTACATATCGATAGACACACCAACACTCCACACCACGTACTCGTCACAAGTAACACTCACATTCTCATAGAACTTTCCTAGTATATTTATTATTTAATCAATGCAAATAAATGCAGTCGTTAGATTATTAATACTGCAGCATGTTTCCTGGTTAGTAAAATTGCAAAAATATTTAAATTTAATATGGCTTTGTTGGATGGCTCTAAAGAAAAGTATGAAATTCAAACCAAAAATATACTGCATGATTGAAAGTAGAAGAATTTTGCAAAAAAAAACTCAATTCTATTGTCATTATTGTTGTTGATTGAAGTGTCCAGCAATGGTGACACTCTTCGAACAGAATATTTCAAACTGAATAGTATTTTCATGCATAATCTACGATTGTGTGTGACTATGTATGTGAGTGCAGGTGTAGGCATGGTCTCTGGTTATTTGTTACCTCTCATGTACACTCACATCCAATTTCAGTTTTTGAAGCTGTATATCATACAGATTTTGGTTAATTTTTTCTGTAGGATTCTCTACTTTGTGTATTTCTCACTTACTTTATTCAATACGTTCGAAATATAATGAGCAATATTCCAAGTAAACAGCTTCTGAATGTCTTTCAAATTAAAAATAATTCGATTCAATATATCATAAAATATAGAAGTATTCTATAGTAATATAAAGATATACATTATTCAAAATTTAAAAATTATACAAAGTATTTTCTTGTGATTATTCAATGCGAATTCACCTAGTACGATAGCATGTTTTTCCACATGATCTTCTAATATTAGCTTAGGTACGCAAGTTTTATTTAAATTGGGGTAACTCGTAAACATTTTTTCTCAAAATGTTTTATTCCATTTACACCAGATCCACATAAAAAACAAAATTGTTTCATACATGCACTGCATATCATCCAGTTATCTGAAGTAATCTTTACATTAATTTTTCTACATGCTTTATTAGGACATGTTGTCACTCGATTGAGTATAACTGAACCAATAGTTGATTCATCATCAATTAAAATGCTCAAGTCGTTGTCATTTTCCTGTTGTTCTTGTTTATGTGCTTGATCAGAAGGTATCTCTTCATGTTGTTTTGGTTTTTCTTCTATAGGAGTGTCGACTAAGAGAAAGACAATGTATATAAATCATTATCATCAGCCAAATTAAGAAAGAGAGAAGAATGGATTAGGCCTTTTTTTATTACCCTTAAATACATCGTTTTCTATAGAGTACACCGCAATTTCTTACACCAATGATGAAACTATATAGTCTTATACCATTCTCGTCAATACATACAAATATGAGTCGAAATATAAATATAAAACTATTAAAAAATTAAAAATTTGAGTATTATATAAACTTCTTTCTGACTTGTTAATAGGAACACTTAATTCCATATTATCTTAGATATGCAACAGAACTTTATTTGTTATCCTGGTTTTTTGTTTCGAGCAAAAAGTTTTCTACAATTTTTGATCAGTTATTATTTAAATATTCTTCCTTGCAAAACTTACTGAAAAGAAATTATCATGTTTGACATTTCATTGTAGTGCAAAAATTTCTATTCAGCAATGCTTTCTTTGTTACTAACCTAAGTAGGCTACTTTGTTGAGTTCTTCTTTCATAGATTCAATTTTTGTGGAATCATTATGTTCCAAATATGGAGTAATAAATGTTTTTGTTCGTTCTTGTGTTGTTTGCCATGTAAAATCGAAATTACATCGTGTACAATGCATATGTGAACAACCACCATTCTTTTCGATTGGTATATGACATTCAGGACAAAATTGAATATCATCTGTATTGATTCGTTCAGCAGTTAATATTTCTTGTAATAGAGTATTTTGTTCAGATAGTTTAATAAAAATATGACGATATCTTTGTGTAGCAATTCTTTGTTCGTTCAAAGTTTTTTTCTGTCCTTTTGTTTTATTGAATTGAGCTAATACAACTTCTCTTTCTTTTTGTTTTAGTAATTTCATTTGTTCAATTAAGTAATCTTTAGGACATATTTTTTGGAAATGATATGTTTCATAACACTTTTTACAAAATGTATAATGACATTGATCACATATAGCTAGATTATCATCTTCAGGACCACTAATAACAGGTGATTGACATCTAAATCAAGTTTTCTTTGTATTTTTTTTCTTATCACACTTTCTTGACATTTTAAATTTATTTTAATTACAGTTTCGCTTCAGTTATATATCCTACATTATGTCGTTCACTGATGCAAGACATGAATTCTTAGCTATCTAATTTATTTTTCTCTCCGACTGATATTAATATAATTTTTCTTCTTATTACCAAGCTATTTCAATATTCTTTATTTGCTTAATCTTGTCTACTACTACTGCATTCGTATTTAGAACTATCAGAATGAGATGCCAATAAATCAACTATGAGATTGAAAACTTTTTCATTTTGATAATTGCAGTCAAAATCAACGAGTACGACCTTATATCACTTTAAGAAGGATAAAATACATAGGTTGACTCTCTTGCAACAGGAAAACTTTTATTCTTCCGTAATTATTCTAAAGCATAATCGCTTTGTCTTTTACTAATTTCTTAGGAGTTTCTGGAAAAATGGTCTATTATCTAGAGAGCAAGACGTTCATCATGCTTCATCCGTCGTATTTTGTCCTTTTTGTAAATTTTCTCATAATTGAACACTTGCTATGACTTTTACAAAGGATGATATATTCCTAAATGTGTGTTTGATTTTCACATGAGACTTAGTCTAATTAATAGTCTGTAATGAAAAATATTAATCAAAAAGGAAAAATATTTGTAATTATGGTCTTGTTTTGATGAAATCAGCAAGGTAACTTGAAAACAATTATTAGAAAACTCTGAATTTTTGTATGCACGCTAATTTAAATGAGATTTTCATGTAGTCAAAATTTTAGATCAGAATTTGAAAATATGATCTTGCTACAAATATGGGTTCCTAAATACAACGAAATTTTACTACAAATGTTTGCTCTACTCAGAAACTAACTGTAAATGCAAACTCTCATAAATATGAAGCAGATATTGTAAAAGTCTTAGTAAGAAAATAATACATGTCTTTATCAAGAAATCAAAATAATTCATTAGTTTATCTCACCTTGGACACCAAACAATATCTTTCATTGATTCAAGTCCATGTTGTAATGTTAATCGTTCATATCTTTCATATAATTTTTCATTTTGAATAGTTTGTTTTATTTCTGTTGGAAGTAAAGCTTGTTTACAGTGATCTTGTGGACAAAGAAGATTTTCTCCAAATTTTCCATTTTCAAGTGTCATCCGAATATAATGATTCAAACAAGTACGACAATAAAAATGTCCACAACGATGAAGACGAATACAATCTACACCTGGAATAATATCTGTACAAATAGAACATGATTGAAATCGATTTCGAAATACATCTTCTTGATGCTTTTGATTATAATCAATTAAATATTGAAAAATTTTTTTAGTATTTTCAATTGTATAACCATTTAATGCTCGTGGATCATTTTGTTGTTCTTCAAAACTTGTACGAATAATAAATTCATTTGTTATTTCTTGTTTTATTAATTCAATCCAATCATAAACACAAACTTCACCTGGAATAAATGAAAAATTATCAATTTTTTGACAAAGTTTTTCTAAATCAATTTTAGAGAAATAAAAACATGATAGAATAAATGATGGTGGATCATCACTTGGATATTCATCATGATAATTAATTATCAAAGATAATGGTGGTAAATATTGTATCGTAGATATTTTATCGTCTAATCTAATTGTAAATGATGTAGATAAATCAAATTCAATTAATATTTCATATTGATTTTCATTCATTAAACGAAACTTTTGATCAAAAATTGATTGTAATACTAATATTTCATCAGCTTGTTTTTCATTATTTGTCATTTTTGTCAAATGAATGCATTCAAGATCGGTAAAGAAAAGACGTGTTATATTTCTAATTCTTGTGCAATAACTACTTGACATGTCTATGAATCACTATAGTAACAGAAAAGAATAAAAATAATATATACAGTAAAGTGCAAAAAAAAAAATTATCGTTAGTATTCGATAAAATTATTTCGCTGAACACGATGGCTATCGAAATTTTTTTTTTGTGAATAGTGTACGCACCACAGAGTATATAAATATCATAAGTAATAATTAGCTCGGTTTCCCTTAAGGTCACAAAGAAGTAAATATTACGTCTTCATTAATACATTGAAAATAACTTAGGCTCATTTTGCATATGTATATGAGTCGTTTCAAAGCATAAAAGATGCATTTGAAGTAACATGAGATTTGCCATGAATCTCATTTTTGATCAAACTTTTGTAATCAAAGTTTCAGCTCGATATGATGTTTCGCAATATTTAAGGCACGAAAAAATCTATACGTCACCTTCTTGAATTGCGATCCCTATTTGAATCTGAAGACAAATCCTGAGAACTCGTCACTTGGAAGCGAATTTTATCTAACAGCCGGAATCTATCTGCTCTAAAAATTTCCAGTGGATCGTATCAGTCACTATTGAGAAAGTAGACCATCCGTGCGGAGAGTTCTATAGGGTGTGATCATTGGTTTGCTTCTAAAACAATTTGTGCTTGGAACTCGTTTTCATTTCGTTAGATGTGATGAATAAAGATCTTCGCTAAGAAGACGATTTTCCAAATCTTTGTAATGTAAGATGACCGCTCGATATGCAAAAGAGGCAGTGGACATTCAGATCAGGATGGCTCTCGACCGACAGGATGACATTTTGAAAGAAGTTTCGCTCGCATTACATTCTACACCATCTCCTTGACTGCCATGAAACGTTTCGGAAGAATCCATTCATACACTTGGCTGATGTGACCCGAGAAAGCGCATATGTACAATGGCAATTTTTTTGCACTCCACTAATAGGAAATATGATGCAATGCCATAGAATTATTATTCGATAGTTTAGAAGACAAATGTCCTTGCAATCTTGATTTACTGCTTAGTCATTTTTATCTATTTCACAACAGCGGATATCTTTAATTAAATATTTTGTAATATATGTAGAGATCATTTCTAGAGATATGTAGGACAAACTTTTTCCTATCGCGAATCTCGTTTATCCTATCTCGTACTTTTTCAAATTGTTCCCGCATCCAATGTACTAGTCCGAATATTCTTTCAAATTGTATGATTGATCGAAAGCAATATAAAACTATTGTTTTATCAAAGAAGATTACATGTGTTGTATACCGTCAACGGAAATTTTTTATTCATATAAGTGGTTATTAGATGAACTAGCTATCTTTTAATTGAACATGCAAAAGAAGAGTTTTCGCACAAAGACTTAACCATAAAATATTAATTGATAAGTACAACTTCAGTAAAAGAATATGTATATAAAAGTGAAATTTCAGTTGGAAATTATGATAGATAATTATGGCACTTTTTGTTAATTATATTGGTTTGGTAATATCAAAGCTTGTAATGTATGAAAAGTAGTCAAAATAAAAATGTCCTATTCAGACTAATCTTTGATTCCAGAACTTTTATTGTTACAATAACAATAAAGGTTAGTACTACAACATAAATAAAGAAGTAAACGAAGAGACATACGAAGGTTCGCTTCAATACATTATATTGTATGCCTATCAGTTATTTTTTTAGGCCTTGGTGCCATAATGATAATTATAGCATTTGTTACTTTTTAGCAAGTTTTTTGTTTTGTTGTCTAGGAAACACGTGAGTTTTGCCTCAATATCTACATATTCAATATAATAATAAAACATCTGATTATTGTTAGCTATCTTTATATAAAGAAGCTTTTGTTATTGTTTTTATTTCAGACATTTGGCTTGTATCTTTAATTTTCATAATAATCTTTCTATGTATTAATAAAGATAAAATTTAATGAATTATAGTAAAATTTCTAACTATAGGAGTTACAAAAAACGTAAAACAATTCATAACAAAAGAAATAATTAACATACTCTAACTCACTAAAATTCTTCAACAATCGTTTAATAATAAGCAACAAATCATGTGTGTATAATGATAATACAATCGAGGCGATGGGTTTCATCGGTGGGACCCACTACAGAGCGATCCAAAAGTTCCTTTAAAGCAGAAATGTTTGAATATCTCGGCCATACTTTGACCGAAGTGACTGGTTCTTTTACCATTGATAAAGAAATGTTCACAGGTCATATTCATAAGATAAACACTGACAAAAATTGTTTTGAAGTATTAGAACTAGCATAAATAAAGAAATAGAACCTTTCACGAATTATGAAAGAACAATATTCATATCGTCGTGAATGTGTTTAGGGATGTGCAATGTTGGTATACTGATCAGCAGTGTCACCTAAGCCACCGATACACGAACACTGACCTCCACTGTCCTCAATTTACGTTGTAAAGTACAATATTTTGTATATAGATTGTAGTGAACAGAAATTAGGATCAATCTCAGTGTTGCTACACTGACCTCAGTTTCAGCGTCCTCACTGTCAGTATTACACCGTTCAGTGCAAAACTGCACATTCCTAGATGTGTTTAAAAAAAGCGCGAATCTCGACAAGGTAAAAAAAACAAAATGCGAGTGTCGCATGTCGAAATAACTAAGAACGTGTTTTTTTTCATATCATCTTACATGACACGTGTTTTGCACTGATTATGAAGTAAAGGCGCATGTTTCATTGTTACTTGTGTTCGAGTTCGCATTTTTCATGTCTAAAACATTTGGAAAGAAACACTAGGGAAATTTTAGATGTCGATGTAATTATATCTTGAAAATGTTACTGAGTTCGAATAAAAACTGATGAAGTCATCATGATTTCCGGTAGTAGGACACAAGCTCGGTTTTAACGTTTTTTACCTTTGCTAAGTCCAAGCTTATAGAAAAACGTAATTGGTAGAAAAACCATTATATCCCCGTGAGAGAAACGTCATGCTCGCGTAGTCGGAAGTTCATAATTCAGAATACTAGGCAAGCCAGGAAAAGGGTTTTGTTTCAAAAGTCTAAGCGTTTTTCAAATTTTATTTCGCTATAACTGGACTAGAAGAATCCTTCCTTTTCAAACATAAGTTTCTCTCACACGATGTACACTTTGCAACGCTAAAATCTTAGGTATCTATCGCCTGTTATAAAAAATTATATGCATTCTGCTTAGCTCTCTCATTTTTTTCGAGAATGATAATACAATTACGAAACTAGTTTGTCTTTATAAAATCACAAAGAAAAACTTGTGAACGAACGAAGAAAAAGAAGAAATTAAAAAGAGAAACCTCGTTTCTTATAAAAATCTAAGTATTCAACGAATCAAAGCTCAAAGTGCTGTTTCCACATTTGAATTTCTCGACTAAAATAAAGTTCTTTTGAATTTTCGAGAGTATATACCAAAAAATACAAAAAAAAAAGGTGAAGTGCGTTTATTCTGGGGTGGGTGGATGAAAAAGAAATCATCAGCCTCACCTGACATCCACACCCTTTATTAAGAATTTTAGACACCAGTTAAGAACGTCATGGAAATATACATCTCCTTGGAAACCATACACCACATATCTCTGACTAATGATGCCATAAAGACATGAACATCTTCACTTTCACATTATTTATCCAATCTATTTATTGTTAATTCGCTTTATTTATTTTTCATATTCTTAGTTCAAAATGTGACAGAGATCGATCTAGAAGCTAACAGATTTCACTAGACGTTGAAACCATATTTCCTGAGCCATTCTTTCTCGGAATTTGTTAAGCTTCTATGACCGTGTTTCCATTCGCCGTTGATATAAAGTGCACTGCCATCATTGAAATGGACATGGATAAAACGATCATACCTCGCTGGATTTCCCTTATCGGCACGTATTATGGACTTGGGAGCACGGCCCTGATTTATCTCCTGATTCATCTGATTGACGCTCGGTTCTTCGGCCATACTCTAAAACATAAGAAAGCATAGTAATCATAAATAAATAGTGCATACGAAGGTTTTCATTGTAAGCAGATTTTGAATCCTACACATCTTCGATAGAATTGGTATAAGTAGTCAGCACCCGCATATCAACAACTTTTACGACTTCTAAACTGTTCGAATGTTCAAAGACAATATCTCAGCGATGGAAAACGAAAAAAAAACAAAAAATACGAATTTTTATATTTTATAGGCTATCAAGCTGCGATACGAAAGTAAAAGAAAAGAGAATATAATTCCGTTGCACCATTCTAACTCTTTCAATCGCTCTCTAATTTCAATATCAACCAGTCAATACTGAGAGTAATCGAAAAAAATGGGGACCAGAGGGACATAATATTTCAACTTTGAGATAAAAGTGAAGTATGGAATATAAAGAATAATGAGTGAAAGAACGAAAAAAAAAACGAAACTAGAAGCTGACTCAATTCGATTCAAATCAGTCGAAAGTAATCGAAATCACAAATAATGTAACTGATGTATAATGGAAAATCTGATTAAAATCAGATTAAATAGAGCCATATTAACGATTAATAATAAGATTTTTCTAATCTTTATTTCGCATTGGAAGTACAAAGTCACATGTTAATAATAATAAACAAGATAGAAATTTTAAATTTTACATCGGACGCAGTTGAGATGCTTTCCAAGCGTCTGTAATAGCTACACAGAGAAAGAGAAAGGTATAGAGGCAAGAGAAAAAAGATGAAAGAAAGAAAGAAATGGCTTGATCGCCATGGATTTTGCTTACTGGTGATTACTTACTACATCTATAATCTTATCCTCCCCTTCAAGATTTGATAACCTCTATTTACCTGATAATTGTATATTGATATTAAATTGGTTGATTTATTCACAGTTTTTTATGTTGTAGAAAAAATAATAAATGATGATTGCGTATAGGAATATTGTGTTGTGTTATATGTCAAATACGTATTGATAATATCTCAATAGAATTGCTTGCTTATATACATGATGTAGCCCTTTTATTTGGTATTTTTTTTATTTCTTTCTTCTATTCGGTTTTTTCCACCATGTGCAAATATTTTTTTATTGGGTAATTTCTTTTCTCTTTCTTCTGTGGGGTTTTTTCCAGTCATGAGTTGATATATTTGTTCGGATGACGTCGTTTGAGTACATCACGTATTTTCTTTCATATTTGATTTTATCTTTCTGTTTTTTTTCTGATCCTTTATTGGTCTATAGATTTATGAATGCGAATTTATAAAAAAGAAAAGAATTCGATAACACTTTAACTTGTCTTTTTCACATTCGAGATAAATTTTTCTATAGCGATAAAAATGTAAAAAGTAGATAATATGAGGTGAAACAGCTAAGCACTGAATATTAGCAATATAATAACGGACAGGGTGTATTAAATGGTCGCATTTTACAATTCATTTTTCGAACACTTAACATCCTCCCCTAGAAAAACAAAATAGGCCGGAAAATGCAACGTGAAAAGCTCTACATTTTACACGGGCGTGGATGCGGGTATTCGTATGCATAAACAAACACCCACATCCACACTCTTAATAAAAATGTGGAGTTATCGTCTATTTCAAAAAAGAAGACATGAGGTGTTTTTTGAATAATTTTTGATAGAAATAAAATAAAGATCTGCAGTTTTCATCGTTCAAAAGAGGAGATGAAACTATATCGAGTCATTATTTCAGAATTTTGTCACATTCACTCAAGATCTAAATTCATGGTTATTTTAAACAAAATACTCAATAATGTGAACACTTAGGGATTTTAATTTTCATAAGTGTATTAGAATTGATAATTGAAGATCTATAATTTATGCAACATCGACGTTATTCACTTTAGCCAATCACGAATTATATATGTTTTACTAACTAAAAGCTGACTTTTTTTGTATGATTTTAAAGAAAAATTCATCTTATCAATCAATCTAATAGCATTGATTAGGTATTATGTATTTAGACTATCGGATAGAAATAATACGTATGAACATAAACAACAAACAACACTTGTAAATGATAGAATTTATAGTCATTACGATTGGACATATAAATTTGTTTACATATTTTTTCTATTGATTTGAATGTTTCAATACGATTAGATCATCAAAATTTTCAAAAATATAAGAAGATTTTACATTGTCTATCAATGAATGTCAATGTCAAAGAAACTAATTATGCTAAAAGATTTGAAAGATAAATTTAATGAATACACTTTTAAATTTCACATAGAAGTTTTTATATAAATATCACAAATTGATGAAACACGAATTGAACAACATTATCAAGAATTATAGTGAAGATAGTCCATTTATTCTAATTAATTTACACTTCTATTTCTCTTCAGTATTTTAGATATTTGTTTTTTTTTGATTCATACAAAAGTACCACAAATGTTAGAAGCTATTGCAACTAAACGTATGTTATTTTAATATAGAAAAATGAAAGAAACAAAAAAAGATTTTTGGACGAAGACTTTAGATATTATTTGCATGATAAATTTTTTTATATAGTGTCATTTTATTTTTATTAATTAGGATCAAGTGAAAGATAAAGAATATGATTATCATTGAACAATCGATCTAAATAATGTTTTTATATGATTTGAATTAATGTCAATATTTATCTTTCTTTTCTTTGTTCAATTCGTTTTGAGCTATTATGTTTATATTGTGAATAACTAACGACTACATAAGTCCATGGCAAATGATTTTTTAACCATTGAACAAGTTGATTTGAAATTTGTGTTTTTCTATTATGGTATTCATCGTTAATATTTGTTAGCCTTAAGTCTTTGGAATTTCTTTCATCGTTCCAGACGATAATTAATATTCGAAGACTAACCATATTTTTGACAAGATTAATAATAAATTCACGATTATCAACTAAAATAAAAAGTACTTCGCATTGAACACCTAATGATGAAGGACTCAACAAATTACATTCCTCCTCATTGAAATAATGTTGACATTTATCTAAAGAGAGTTCACGAACTGAAGTTTTTGAGTATTTGAATAATGACATTTCTAAAGGTAATGATTTATCTTGATTGATAGTTAGCGCGTGTAGATGAGGTGCTCGATCTAATAAAGTTTGTACCTGAGAATGAAAAGTATCACCATGAGATGAGACTGTAAGTGAGCGTAGTCGATTTAAACTTGGAACAATAGACCAAAATTGATCATTGATGGGAAGTTTTATATGAAGATATTCAATATTAGGCATATGAATGTAAGATGGTATCGGTTGATCAAAAAATTTCTCATCGAAAATGCGAGTCATATTATGATAACATTTTTGTTGATAATCTTGTGGAATTGTCGAGTGCAAAAAATCAGAAAGCGTTATATTCCAGTCACAAGATGAACTTGGTAAAGTTTCGAGATGAATAAAATAATCCCTTGTATGACATCGAACAAACCATTGATGTTCATCAACCCAAAATGAATATCGAAACGAATCGATCAATCTATCGGCTTGTTCTTTGATATTTTGATTCGAAAAGAGTCGGATCATTTTAAGTCGAAATGTTTTCAATTTAGGCAAGTAATTACGAATGATTTGTTCCCATTGGTGACCATTAATTAGTTCCAACCATATTTCATTTTTCAAATGACTTAAATTAGGTACGTTTTGCAATAAAGCATTGAGTTCTGAAAGTCTCTTATGGAGACACAACTTAAGTTTGGTTATTGTTGAAAGTGGAGATGCTATATAATCATTATTGATAGAGGGTTCGAAAGCTGTTGAAAGATATTTAAGGCGAGGAGTGTAATGAAATAATCGATTTAACTGATTCCATCGAAATTTACTGTCAGATATAGTTAAATATTGAAGAGATGCGGAGATAATTGATGGCAGACAAAAAATCTCTCGTTTTTCGATGTTAATGTCACAATAGCAATAAATAAGATTTGGTAAACTCCAAATCTTGTTGACGATTAGTTGAAAATTAGCTTTATCATTTGGAAAAGAACAAAAGGAAAATGTTAAATAAGTAAGACTATTGAGATGATGAAATTGATCTATGAGTTTTAACCATGCCTGAACTGAGTCAAGCTTGCATAGTGTGAGCGATTTTAAATGAGTGAATCGATTGAGTGATGGTATGAAAGAAAGAAATAGATCGATTTGTTCTTTAGTTTCTATGAGATTAGATAGACGAAGAGTAATAACTCGATCAGCAATGAATGGTAAATGTTGTTTACATATTGTATCGAAATCACAACTTGACATAGAATTGAATTCGAAACGATACGATCGATATTGTTTGTAGAGTAGAAGATTGAAGCGTGAATTGAGGCCATAGAATGCATGAAGAAGATTAATGCCATTAAAATAATCGAATAGATCAAGAAAGATTTCGTTAGGTAGTAATTCTAAATTCATTATGCTTTTTTCTTTACCTACAGTTGTGTGTAATGTAGCAGCAAACAAGCTTGCGTATGAATTAATTGAAAGGAAGAAGAAGAGATTAAACTGGATAGTCTTTCTTCAATATAATAATAGTTAGGTTAACATTTATCTGCTGTTAGTCAGTGTATGCGTCGATTCTATAAATAACACATAATCCAATAATAAACCATAACAAACGTCATATAAGAACTTCAGTAAGCAATAAGCGTCGACGAGCGAGCGACCGAACTATTCTGAAATGATTATGTATTCCGTCAATATTAGTTGGCTTAAAGGCCGCTATATCTAGTCCATTTTGAATGTTGATCTTATCCTGACTGGTCAATAGAAAAGAAAAATGATCAAAGAGGACGAAAAGTCGATCATTGTAAAAGAAGCTGAGCCACAATCTTTCAAAAATCGATTAATTTAACATATGATAATGAAAATAAGAATAAATTTATTTTATTCTGAGCATTTGTTTAAATACTTAAGAAAATATGACAATAAAAGAATTGAGAGATGAAGCATCAAATGTAACACAACAAATGTTTAAGACCGATCGTTTCTCACTTGCCTATTCGTATTTGTACTGATAGGACGCACTTTTTTTTCGTTCTCCTTTTTCGTAGTAATCGATTCTATATATAAGAGACACGTGTATACACACGTGACCCACCAATTGTCAATCAACAGGTAATCACTAAATTTTTTTTATTTACTGGTTTGCTTGTTGAACATGTCAAACAAGGACCCGAGGTCAGGTCGTTATCATACTTCTGAAGATGTAATTATGGCTGACAAACGTGATGTTGAATTAACATTTTTGAAGAAAATGAATATGGAATATCAAAATTTAAATTCTCCAAGTGATACTGATCAAGGTGGTAAACGTGGTCGTACACCAACTGATGATGATTATGAACGTCATGTTACTAGAAAAGGTACTCCAAAACGTTCAAAATCTATTCAAAAAAATACACGTACATTTATCAATTCGATACGTAGTGCGACAACTACAGATAACAATGATTCAAATTTAAATTTAAGAATGGACGATGTGAACTTCCAATCAAGCAACAATAATAATAAGAAGAACATTAACAATGATAATGATTCATCCATTTTTAATTTTTCAAGGAGTGCTATTGATTATGCAATTAATCAACACCTACCCCCGATTAAAATTATTTGTGAACCTAAAATAGGTAATCAAAAAGAAGGTGGTGTTATTATTAAAGGTTTAATTAAATCGATTGAACATGATTTTAAAGGTGTTAATCCTAGACATAATGATTTAATTGGTTTTGATAGTTGGTATATTGATTTTAAAGGTGATATTTGTTGTATTACAAATGATATTGAATTATTTGTTTATCTTTGTGATGATAATCATGTTCCAAGCAAGATTGAAAATACGATTATTTACATTACTAAACCGAGAAACCTACCTCCACAGAGGTCGGTGATAATTAAAAATGTTCCTATCTCATCAAGTTTGGATGATATGAAAGTGGAAATTAAGAATAAATTTAAATCTATTTATTTTGTCGATGAGGTGTTAGGAACCAATAATGGTAGGACAAGATTTATAAGAATTGACTTATTGAACCATTTGGAGTACAAACAGATTCTGAATGCTGGTGTTATTTGTATTGATGGACAATGTTTGCACGTACATGAATATCTTGCTCCACCTCGAATTATGTTCTGCTCTATGTGTAATCTCCCGGGCCATACAAAAAGAAATTGTAAGTTATCATATGAACGATGTAAACGTTGTGGTGGTAATAGGAAAACGGGTGAACATAAAGAATGTAAAATAACCTGTCATAATTGTCAGGGTGATCATGTTGCTACGGACTTTAGATGTCCCTTGGTTCATTCATATCGTAAAGAACTTATTCAATATCTCCGTCTACATCCAGAAGTATTTCCAAATGATACTCAGATCTTTATTCCCTCCAACTTTCGTCAAGAGGGTGGTAAAGTATTAGGTAAACGTATGATGGATAAAAATCAAGATTATTATTATTATAAATCGTCAAAAATTAATCCTGTTCCTGTTTGGCCTTCGCTATCATCAAAATCAACTATTTATGAACCTAATGCTAATCTAAATCATCAGAATTTAAATATAAAGGACCAGCTGAATCTTAATGATTTTTTAGCTCGTATTGAAAAAGATTGCAATGAAGCAAAACAAGAATATGATAGAAGGTTTAATGATACAACAACAAAAATTAATATGTGTTTAAACCAAGTTCAATCATTAATGAACTGCTTCTCGTCAACAATTCAACGTCAAAATGAAATGATTTACGTATTAAAAACTTCATTAAATGAATGTCTTGAAATTATTAAAATTACAAATCAAGCATTATGTTTATTATTAGATAAAACCGGTGAACAACAATATAAAGATATGATTCAACAAATATCTGCTATACCTTTAGAAGATCGACAAACATCTATTAACAAGTTTTTCTCTGCTTATTCACCATTAATTGATGAAATTACAATGAAGATTATGGATGCAACGGAAAAGCTGCATATTCATAATGGATAATCCTACATTTAGATATTATATGCCTTATATTGATGATATGCTTATTGATTCATTTATTGGTACTAGTAGAGAAAAACAAGAATTAAGACAAATTATTTATGAATGGAATACAAGATCCTGTACAACTGATTTATTTAAAAGATGGACTAAAGGTAAACCAAAAATCATGGACTCTAACCTTATTTTTTTACTATACAATGTAAACTCTCTAAGCAGTCATATTGCTGATATGGACATAATCATCTCTAACCATGCACCGAAAGTTTGCATTTTAACAGAAATAGGTAAAGCAGCAATGAAAAAGCCCCCACAGTTTCCTGGTTACCACTTGCTAGTACAAGAGGGAACAAATTCATTCGGAGGTGTAGGTTTATTAATTCATCACTCTATCAAATATAAAGAAGTAGCTCGAGATTTGAATTTTCTAATGGTTGAAATTGAAACAAAACCTGTACCAACATTAGTAGGTGCTGTTTATGTTCCACCTGGAACGGTTCCCCCCTTCCATCTGTTTACGAAGTGTAGAAACAAATCTTTTTGTATTTTTGGTGATTTTAATGCGAAACACGAAGATTGGAAATGTGCAACGAGCAACGTAAGCGGTAACCGTACGGCCACATGGTTAGAGGAAACGGGGAATGAAATGATTATACCAGATAAACCTACCTCACGCAGGTCGGATGCCATAATTGATTTTGGCATCACGCATAACGCCATGGGTTGGCAAACAGAAGTATTAGATGAAGGAACCTCTGACCACTTCCCTATACTAATACAATCACCACTAAATGTCTCTGAGTCCGCAGTATTTAGGAAAACAAATTGGAATATACTCAAGTTTTTTCTTAATTGTGTATATGAATATTGGCTAGCTCTTGTTTACAACTATGATGAACAATTTTTCTTCACTCACTTTTCAGTCTTTTTGCAAAGTCTGTGGGATAGATGTAGTATTTATAAACCAGTTAAACAATATCGGTCGCCGTGGCCGTATTACCTGGTGATGCTAGCTAAAGAAGTGAATAGAAGTAGACGTCGATACCGACGTAATAAAACTCTTTTTAATCTAAACAATTTTCTTGAACTGAAAAAAGTTTTTTATGCAGAACGTTCAGAACTGACGAAACAAAAATATGAAAAGAAAATGGAATGGATAAAGAAGGATCAAAATATTTGGAAAATTGCAACTCCAATTTTCCACTCATATTCACCACCTTTTTGTGGTCTTAAAGTTTTAGATAGAATAATTCATGATCCTGAGACGATAGTTAATACGCTTGCGAATCATTATGAGAAACACTTTGCTGAACCACAACATGATGAGAATAATATAGTACATCAAAAATGTATATTGTCTTACGAACAATTAGGTTTTGTGCCTAATATTCCACTAGATAATATTTCGATTAATGAAGTTAGTGCCGTATGGAAAAGATTCTCTCCGAAGAAATCTACAGATAGTATCGGTACCTCTGCCTTTCTATTGAAAAATCTACCTGAGGCATATGTTAACATTATCACGATTTTATTTAATAAATGTGCATCGAAGGGTGAATTTTTCTCAGCTGCTAAACATGCAAAGGTGGTCTGTCTTTCAAAAGAAGGACTATACCCTTCACCGGAGAAACTAAGACCCATCTCATTGTTGCCCAATCTAGGCAAATGTTTAGAGAGGATTATACATAACCGTATTCTTAGCTGGTGTAAGAGTATGAATGTTTACATTGATGAACAATCGGGTTTCTCACCTGGTAGGAGACTTCAGACCCGAATCATCTCGCTCATCGAAGAGCTGAGACTTACGGTTGCAGCTAATAACAGACCAGCAGTAGCAATATTCATTGATTTTATGTCTGCATTCGACAATATGTGGATACCCCACCTCATAATGAACTTACAGAAATTACACATGCCGCTCCAACTATTAAAGTGGATCTTTAACTGGTTGAGAGATAGATCTTTTTATATTTGTCATGGTGATCAGGAATCGCGATTAGTTGTGATGAAGAAAGGTGCGCCCCAGGGTTCAGTAATTGCGGCGACTCTATTTCGACTGCACATGCACTTTATTACTTCTTACTTTGACAATATAGTAATACATTTATTTGCTGATGATTTAGCACTGATTCTCAGTGGCTCTCTTGAGAAAAAACTTTCTCAGAACGTGATGGAATTAGAGCAAAGAGCAGCTAGTGTCCTTAAACAACTTGACTATTTTTCGAAGGATATAATTCTACCGGTCAATGTTGCGAAAACTAAGGCTGTACTTATTCACAGTGTTGTTGCACCTCCTTATCCTAGATTGTGGTTTAACTCACAAGAAATAAAATTTGTTGATAGATTTAAGTATCTAGGAGTATATATCTCAGTTAAATTAGGTTGGGATAAGTACATCAACGAAAGATTAAAGACCATCACCAAAGTTCATAATGCAATGAAGATAATCTTTAGAACTATTAATAAGAAAGAAATAAAAATTCGCAAGAAAATTTTTTATGCGTATGCACTCCCGCATTATATATGGCTCTTTACAACCTGGTTCTTCTTTACGGAGAATCAGAAAGAGAAGATTGAACATAAATTTTGTACCGGACTGAGAATTGTTTATGGAATGTATAATTGGGATGATCTTACAACATTAGTTATAACGAGAGAGAAATCTATATATGATTTTCTTTTTGTATATTGGAGGAAATTTGTGTGTCACCTGATGTCATCACCTGATGCTCTTGCATTTCAACAAAGTTTGAACGCCTATCTGTTATTAACGGATGTAAATAAATGCTGGACGAGGGAACTGGGGTTTAGAATGAACAGTAGATTCTATAACAGATTAGTGAGGCAAGTGAAGAACTGTCTCATGGAATGGGCTGCATTCGATTGTGTCCATATTAAACAATATGACTGCTTTAGAACTTCCACAAATGTATTGAACACATTTGTTTTTAAATTTTTTCTATCATCCTCCCCTGAGATTTGATTTGTTTCTTTCTTTCTTTCTCTACATGTAACCAGAAATGTTTTCTCTAGGCATTGTAATCTCACTTTTTGCTTACTTTTCATATTTACTGTTCGTGTTCTCTTTCTCTTCTTTCTCATTTTTATGTTACTTATTTTTTTTCTTTTTCCTCCTTAAACACATTGTGAACCAAAACATTTATATGGCACAATAAATATATATGTTAAAAAAAAAAAAAAAAAAGACCGATCGTTTCTTTGTCACTTTCGTTCATTCAGGATCGTGTCAATAATCCATATTACAGTTATATTGTGAATTCTTTTTTTATAATCTTTCGCACTTGTCAGAAAACTGATCAGATTTAAAGCAAAAACATTAATGAAATTTTGAATGAAGCTTCCCAATGGTTTTCCAGTCTAGACAATATTTGCTCATCAACCTTTTGTATCAAATGATGAAAAAGTTTAATATAATTTCGTACGCAGGTTTGTTTTTCTTTGGAACTAATGCCGGAGTTATTTTAAAAGTACCAACGACCATTTTTTGAAAAATTTTTCAACGGTTCAAGCAATAGAGGTCAGGTTACCACCGTTAGAAAAAACAAAGTGTGGGACGTCAATCTATATAAAATTCATTAGGTTTACGGATTTTTTGTATAGTTGTTTGCAGTCTGATATCTTATTTATCGTCTATTTTCATGAGTTTTCATGACAAGTTAACATCAAATCAGACCAAAATGTAGGCCAAATCGTCCTGTATTTGTGCTAAAATTTTCAAATCATTGCGTTTTATTCTTGATTTTTTCCTTACGCTTTGATGTTAAAATATGAAAATTTTAGCACAAATGCAGGATGATTTGGCCTACATTTTGGTCTGATTTGATGTTAACTTGTTATAAAAACTCATGAAAATAGACGACAAATAAGATATCAGGCTGTAAACAACTATACAAAAAGTCCGTAAATCTAATGAATTTTATATAGATCGACGTCCCACACCTTGAGGATGTCGGTGGGGGTGGGGGTGTGTGTATGAATCTTCTATTCAGCCACACCCACACTTATACCCTGACTGTCATTGATTCAATCATCCAGGAGCAAACAGCTACCATCACTGACACACACACCGACTCTGAATATATATATATATATCATGTATTTTAGCTGTGAAACGTATTTTAAAAATTTTTGCTGGGAACTTGGAAGTACCCTTTCCGGAAAATTAGATCATCATACTCAGTTTTTTGTGCTCTTTGAAATGATGTATTCTTTATGAGACTATCATGAAATAAAAATTTTCAGACCAGTTGATATGATCTATGTCGTCCAGTACGATTTGTTATGCTGATTTCGAATATCACATGCATTTTATTTTGAAAATGAAATCTTGATAGTCAAAATTTCCAAGTACGTGCTCATTTTTTATTATCTTACTCATAATATCGGAAAAGTTGATTTTCAAAATAATAAATTCTAATTTTTTTAAATTGGAGGGTGTGGGTGTGTTTGTGAATTATCTGGTCATCAATACCCATACTCCACCAACACAACATCCCACATCCACACTCTCTCAGATTCGGGCCTGCCACAGTCGAAAAACTTTTAGTTGATTTTGAGGAAACGGCTGATTCGATCAGTTTTCGGTAGGAAAACATTTTACTGGCTGATTTCCTAGCATGAAGAAGTCCTATTGGTTAGAACTCAGACTAGAAAAGCACCTGATTGGTTGATTTTGTGCATGAAGATATGTTATTGGCTAAAGCCCTAATAAGAAAACATGTGATTATGTAAACTTTCCCTATGCTAAAATTCTGCTGTTCAATTTTTTGATCACTCAGACACTGAGCAAACCTATCAGCAATTTCCGTTTGCTATATCCATTCTATCTGAATTGAGAATAGTTGTCGCAAAAGCGTTTGAAAAAAATTCTTGATAATAACGTTTCTTATTATGCGTTCTATATATTTGTTCCAGGCTACACGTTCGTATAATCAATCCCCTTTCCTTGATTTTTCTGGCCTAAAATTTTCGAAGCCGAATACGACCTAAAATAGCTGATACATGCGTCTCAGACTTCATAATGGCTTCAAAATGCTTGAAAACAGTCTTGGTGATAGAATTTATCATTGAGGATTCGATGGAGATCTTTGCAGGCTGTATAATGGTATATATACTACTTTTCTTCATTTTGCTGGTCAAAATTTCTGGAGCGCATATACTACCTTAAATAGTAATTTCATCTTGATGGTTTCTCATTCGCTTCTATAGGGCTTCTATGCTTCATTAGGCCATATTGGCTTTCGGAAAACTTTGGGCAGTAAAATCAAGAAAAGGGAGTCATACAAGCATGTAGCTGGAAAAAAACTACATAGGATCCCTAATAAGAAATGTTATTATCAAGACTTTTTTCAAACACTTATGAAATCATCATGAAGATCAAAGTTGCATGATATACCTAAAATATACATACAAACACTATTTGTTCACCATGGGTTAAGTCTTCGTATACTATTTCTAAATGATTCATATATGAATTTGTGTACCACGATTTACTCTTACAAATGTGACTATTTAAAGTAATTTTATCAGAAAACTGGAAATAGGCCGATTTACATTCTTATGCGCATGCGCTCTCGTCCTATCCACTGAAGATGATACATTTATTTAGCCATCATAATTGAATATATCTTGTAATTGATTTCCTTTTCAGAAGACTATTAATAGACAAAGAATGTCACTCTACCAGTTAGTGATTTTCATAGATAAAGGGAAATAAGTGTGCTTGTGTACTTCTTTGTACATCTTGTTACTTTCGTACTTCTGAAGTACAGAGGTGCTATTGTCCCTCTTTGTTCATAGAACTTATAATGATCTGTGCAATATACGAAAGTATATCCAAACAGACAAAACAAAAAACTAAATAGATTTGTGCGCTTTTTACTCTAATAATGTAATTACCAGAAGTTCCACATTCCATAATGACCCAATAAGAAAGAACTAGCAAATTTTAACTGTATTAGTCATCACTTCAAAAATAATTGAAATTGGCCCGAAGTAGATCAAAGAACGTCAAAGTATCTCAAACTACTATTAAGAAAATCAAATTCATATGACGTTACATATGAATTTTGATGAAATCGAATAAGTTTCTGGAAATGAAATGCCTTTACAGAAAACCAAATAGTATAAGGTGAACAACCCAGATATTCAAAAAAATATGACCTCTCCTTATTCTCTCGTAAGTCATAGAATTCTGAAGTGATACGCATTGGTTAGGATAACGGTGAATATACCAATACAGAGCACATCGTTTGCGTCTGGATCAGGGCAGTTAGAGAGGCGGAAAGTGTAATCCATGACTAAGGATCGGAGAGTGTGGGTATGAATGTGAGAGAATGGGACATGATACTCATGTTTACAGCCACATCCACACCTCGCTGTGAAAGACTTGTGGCTCTACTGAAAGATCTTTTTGTTTTTTGGAAAAATGTTCGAAAAAGACCTGTGACTGAAAAGATTCGTTTTTCCTTTTAGTTTTTGGGAAAATATCAGAAACAGTAACGCCGTCACATCAAGAGAAGAAGCATATATTCTTTGCCTATGCAGAAAAAGATGAATCTGGTGTAAGAGTGGCTGAACAACTGAAGAATCATTTCAACCAGCGACGATTGAGAGTTTACCATCCTAGAAAAAATTAAGACATCAATACTAAAATTGCAAATGGTATTGAAAATGCTGCTGTGGTGTTAGTTTTTCCATCTTACTCATTACAAATATCAAAAAGTAGATCGAAACTATTGAATTACGCTGCTCAAACTAAAACTTCGATTCTAAATATTAAGATTTGTGAAGATTTTCAACCTACAGATTGGTTAGGTGCTATTTTAGCTACTACAAAGAGTTGCTCAACTGATTTTGATGAAGTTATGAAATCCTTGATTTCTATGGGAGTCAAAACTAACAATCTTGTTCTTGAAAGAGATGAAAAGAATGAACCACAACCAATAGAAAAGCATCTATTTTATGGTTGAACTAGATCGGGGGATGTGATCGCTACTTATCATCAGTTTGGTCAAGAGTTTCCGATGGAATTTGAGGCTTTTAATGAATTGAATTGAAAGATATACTAATATCTAAGTTATATATTTCCATTAGTTTTTGGGTTTGGAACAAGGCAGAGTATTTGGTCAAGGAGATGATAAAATTGGAGCTTTTACTCTTGCTGGTCAATACAAGCTTGAAGATGGCTGTGGTGATATCAATATGCATAAGCAATATGTTGGAAAACATTCCGTTATATATCGAGGAAAGATTTCTTTCGAAGGAATGACATGTGTGATAGAAGGCTACTGGGAAATAGGCAACATGTATGATAGCTTTTCCATCTATCGGACTCTTTCAGAGCCATATACAACAGAAATGGAAAAGATACCACCATCAAAAGCTTCACGAAGACAAGGAAGTAAAGTTATGATTTCCTATTGTCCATGTCAATATGATTTGGCTCAAAAGATAGCTGAAGGATTGATTGCTAAAGGTATTCCAGCTGTTTGCCCACCACTACGAATGCATGAGATGATTAAAATAGCAGCTGAAGAAGCAAGAGTTGTTATACCATTAACGAGTGAGGCATATGAAGCATCTAATATTTCAAAGTATGTTCTTTCTTATGTGGATGAAGTTAGTATTCCTATAGTTCCCGTAAAGGCGCAAGATCGTTATTCTCAAAGTGGTTGGCTTGGTGTAATTTGCGCTGGTGCATTATGGACGAGGATAACGAATGCAAATGACATTGAGAAAAGACTTGATAATCTTATAGGACAATTGCATCCATATATCAGCGATGCTTTTGATGACGAGCAACGTCTAGCTACTCTTGCTCAAGGTTATCATATGCAGTGGGGAAAGAAGTTTGATATGTTTGCTATGACAAATGGATATATTGCTGGTCAAGGAGATGATGAAGTCGGTGGTTTTGTAATCAATGGGAAATATACTTGTTTATCAGATAAAGAAGATTTTGAATTCCAGTTTAAAAAGCATTATATCGGACAACACGATGTTCAATACTCTGGAACTATAACTCATAATTAATCTCAATTCTTCTTTGATGGAAAATGGCATCTAGATGATTTATCTGACAGCTTCCATTTAGAAGTTCCTCGTAATCAATCATCAGGACCTAAAGGTTTGCATATCATGTTAAGTTATCAATGGAATAATCAAGAGCTTGTTAAATGAGTAGCAGATATGCTCAAACAAAGGAATATTCATATTTGGTTTGATATTGCTGGAGATATGAAAGGAAATATCAATACTGCTATGGCTAATGGTGTTGAAGGCGCTGCGATGGTTATTTGTTTCGATACTATTGCTTATAGCAAAAGCATTAATTGACAAAAAGAATTTACATATGCTTCTCAATTAAAAAAGAATATTGTTCCTGTTCTTCTTGAAAATGATAAGAAATTCCAAAATACATGGTTAGGGATGATAACAGCTTCCTTAAATGGAATCAATATGCAAGATGATAATCAATTCAACTCCATTGTCGATACTCTTGTACAACGAATTAATACAGCTCTTGAAGAGAAAAAAGATGAAGAATCTAATCGATCTCAAGTCATTGCAAGGTTCGAAGGTGATGCTGTAAGAGGGAAATATTATCAATGTCATCGAGCTTTTGATATGTCCTTTGATTTCTTTAGCTTAAGAGAAGGAAGAGTTTCACGTCAAGGAAATTATGAAATTGGACCTTTCACAATGGCTGGAAATTATGATAACGAAGGAAAAGTTTCGTTCACAAAGCAATACGTTGGACAACATGCTGTTGAATACAATGGAAATATCTATTGCGATAACTTGGGAGGATTTAAGATTCAAGGAAACTGGAGTATTGGGGACCTAACAGACGAATTATATCTGGAAAGCATCAATGCTTCCAAGTGTAATACACTGACTGAAAACATTTAATTATTCGTAACAACAAATAAATCATTTAAACTCTTTGTCATTCTTTCTTTTACCCGAATTCGGGTGTAGATGTGAGTATAGGTGGGGATATGAGTGCGGGTGCGGGTGTACATGTGGCTGTGAGTGTTGTCTTCTCTTCATTCACACCCACACCTATCCTATCTGAAGAGATATTCAATAATCGAATTCAACTTTTAGGTTTGACACTACTGTAAAAGTGCTCATTTTTACTTCACCATTAACGGACGATAAGTATAGCAAAGAAAACAGAATGAGAAGATATCTTAAGTCTCCTGACCCTCACCATCCGTCAAAAAAATGAACATTAAGAGTAATGCATGGAAAGATAGCACAATGTGTGATCTTTCATCAACGATATAAGCTAGAATTTGGTACCTTGTTTTTTAAAATTTTTTGATGATTTTCGTCATTATCTGCTTGAAAAATATTTTTTCTTTTTAGAAACAAAGAGAAATCTTTTTTAGCTTTTTATTTGTCAATGGTTTTTTCGATCGCACAATCCAGAATTCCCTGTAGGCCTTCATTCTATATATTTAACTTTTTTTCGGATTTCAAAGTGCATGTCAATACGTAGTACAAGACAAAGTTTCTTTTTCTTTTTTTTTTGAGTTAAACTTTATTACTATTGTGTAAAAGAATACTTCAATAATAAGAAACTCCATGTTTTGAAGGTTTTTCCAGGTATTAAAAGTGTCACTCATTTCCTCTACTTAAATAGAATTTTAAAAACCTCTCTGCCATGTTCTTCAAATAAACAAAAAATAGCCTAAAGAATGAAGGCTCACAGAGAATGTCGAGTTGCTAAATGAGCTGTTTTAGACCGTTGTTTGTTGAATATCTTCCGAAAACGTCATGATATGGAACTGAAAATTTTAACATAGCCTCTCCACTATAACTTCAATATACTCTGGAAATTACTTTCAGGCGATATTTATTTAACCCTCTACTCATGATAAGACCTAAAGGGACGCATGATTTTTGAAAATAAGTTGCTTATGAAGAATGAAAAGCAATTAAAACAAAGCATAAACATGAAGCATATAAAACTGTGGGCATAGATAACTTGAGTCATGAGCGATGGTTTGCTGAGTCAAACCATTTTAGTATGCGAGCAGAATGCATAGATCATCGACGAACGAGTAGCTTGAGACGTGTAGAACAAAACAGAGTTATACAAACATGGTGCTATGGGAGGGAAGGCTCGAACACGATGTTTATTCTCGAGAAACCAACACGTTGCCATTGCGTCAATCTTCTATATATACTCTGGAAATTTCATGCGATTTGAATGTACCTGACTCAAGATCAGTTTTTTAGGCGGACACTAAGAAGTTCATAATTATTGAATAGAGAAGATGATAAGGGTAATGCAAGAAGCAATAAAATGAATCTTTTTTTTTACATGAGAGACTTTTCATTTCAGAATAACGTATTTGGTTGTAATAGTGTCTTAAGTTAATTTCCAATAACAGTTAGAACGTAATTCAAAAGATATTTATTTTATTGTCATCTTTATTTACTATAGTATTACCTACTAGAAAAAAAAACCTAGCTAATAAAGTTTTTTTTGTGTCCTGAAGCACTGCTAGGTGTTCCTCTTAAGAAAAATTAATGAGTAGCAAAATATATCTCGCTTTAAAAATCTCATACGCATATTTTATTTCGATAGGCATAAAACATAACAGTATTAAGATGTACAGCAGTGTACAACTATAAATAAAGTATGGTATCGAGTTTGTTATATACTAGAGAAGATTGAGAAAAAGTCAATATTCATGGCCTTTAGTTACTAAAAGCTGGTAGATCTTAGCGACTTTGATTCATGTTGTATGTAACGATGACTAATTCTAGGAATTATTCATATTATGAATATAAATACATAAATTAATGTTATATTTTTAAGATAAAGCAAAAAACAACGATAATTTCTTTAAAACAAAAAATCATATTCGCATCTGTTAGACAATGATTTGATTCTTATAATTGTTGTCAATGTATTCAGTGAACATTTTTAATCTAAACAGTCTCGTCATAAGTTGATAAGTAGTGCTAGAATTATTTTCAAAGTATGGTAAGAATAGTTTAATAATACTTGAAGAAACGTATTGATATTACTGTCCATTTCAAAATATAATATCCTCCACTATTTTTTGAATAACTCGAAAACTCAAGCAGCTAGAAATCTGTGGTTTTCACTAATCGAAGGAGGAGATCGGAGACGTCTTTTTCTCTAATAATGTATAAGAGGAAATCCTTTTAAAACTAATTATTTTTGAAAAACATGTAAAAGAAGGCATGAAAATGACCTGTCATCTAGATGGAATTTTGATTTAGACCTATAATTTAGATAGAGGAACTTCAAATCTATAGTTCAAGATACAACGCAAATTGGTTCTTTTATTACATTCTAACGTTGAACAAATTTAGTCATGTGTTTACATCCACAAATAATAGGGATTTTTGCTAATTTTTTACTCATTTTTCTCACTTTTTATTATAATAGCTTGGCATTTCGATGGAAATGTAAAAAATGTAGGGAAACGCATTATATCTTGAACTATACATTTAAAGTCCCTCTATCTAAATCAAAATTTCATCTAGATGAGAGGTCACTTTCATGCCTTCTTTTACATATTTTTCAAAAATGATTAGTTTTAAAAGAATTTCCTCTTATACATTATTGGAGAAAAAGACATCCCCGATCTCCTCTTTTGATTAGTGAAAACCACAGATCTCTAGCTGCTTGAGTTCTCGAGTTATTCAAAAAATAGTGAAGGACATTATATTTTGAAACAGACAATAGTTTGAGTTTTCATGTGTTCATCATTAATGTAAATTTATGCTGAATTGTTTAAGGCGTAAATTTCTTTTTATATTAGTTTTGTATTTTTTAGTGTAATTTTCTTATAGCAATAAAAATTAATTGTGCTTTTATTATAAAAGCTTTCAGCTGAGTTGTTTTTTGATTATCTAATACTAGAGAAAAAAAGAGAAAGAGACTACGCAATGGTGAATCAAATGCACTGTGCAAGTAATCTTCTTTTCAAGGTTAACCGAAATCTTCTTTTTTTTTTCTTACTTGGAACACTTAGTATGTTCAAATTAAGATGATGAAATAAAAATTCCACCAGTTTTGATTTTTACTTTCATTCATATTTACTTTAGAGAATGACTGCCAACGATAGTTTCAACGGTAATGATAATGATGACAATGTATTTCGGGAATCCGAGACTCCCATACCTCGTCCAATTCGATTTTGGCTTCTATTACTACTTGTTATACCATCAATTATTTGTTCTTTATTCTTACTTTTTCATCTACTGATTAATAAAAATTCACGAAATCATTTAGTTAATCATACGATGATTGTTTTACTCATCATTGGATTAATTACAGAATTGATGGATATTTCTTTTCTTCTTGATTTTTTACGTTTTGGTATTGTACAACCATCCATACCTTTTACATGTGTCATGTTGTGGTTTATAGACGTAGGCCTTTATAATGGATTTACAATAATTATGGCATGGAGTTCTGTTCATCGTTATTTATTTATATTTCATGATCAAATATTTTCCAACAGAAACAAACGTATTCCTTTCCACTATTTGCCTCTAATCATGTTGCTTGTCTATATATTGATTTTCTATACAATTGCTATAATCTTTCCACCATGTGTGCATACATTTGATTATAGATTACCTCTTTGTAATGATAATCCATGTTATTTGAATGATCCTTCTCTTGGCATATGGGATACTATTATGAATAGTATTGTACCAACATTTATCATAAGTATTTCCAGTGCCGCTCTTTTTATTCATATTCACTATAAACAACGACATTTTTGTCTAAGTAACCGATGGCGTACACAACGCAAAATGGCAATTCATTTAATCTATACGTCTGTTCTATTTCTTATTCCCAATATTCCACTGAATCTTTTATTTTTCGCTCATCTTTGTGGTCTACCAGAAGGCGTAGGTGTTGAAGTTCAATTAATCTTCGACTTTCTATGTTATTTCGTCATACTTCTATATCCTTTCTTGTGTCTTAGTTTTTTATCTAAGTTACACAAGAAAATAAAATGGAAGAGATTGTTTTTGTTACAACAACCAAGACAAAATCCTATTGTCGCACCTCAATAAACTCATGAATAACAATATATTTTAATATATTACATTTGCTTTAAATGTCATTTCTTATTTAATCACTAACAAAACATAATTTATACATTATTCAGTGTTGTTTTCATTTACAAAAAGATTGAATAAAATATATTCATTTCTAATTATGAAATATTCAGAATAAAAGAATCTATAACATTGATAACAATACATCCTAAGTTGATTAATCATTCAATCATATAAGTCATTCCAAATTCAGTGTCTGAGCAGCCAACTTTAGAGGAGGGAAAAAAGAGAATTTCAGCTCTGCAAGGAAAAAGTAAAAATATTTCACAATTGAGAGGATCGGAGACGCCTCCTTCCGAATCAGGTCACTATTCTTCAAAACAGTCAAAGTTATTATGCTGTAAAAAAAACCATAACGCTTTCGTCAAGCATTATATATATATATATATATATATATATCACTGTTTCATATGAACAAACAATTTATTTCTATGGATATGCTTATACAACACGTACAGCAAATAAATTAATATTATTTTCGTTGTACAATCAATTATACATTTGACTGTATTGAATACATCAAATTAGTTCTAATAAAGTTTATTTTGTATATTTGAACTCGAAAAAAATCTGTCAAATTCACAAGTGAATACAAGATTTACAAACAAGGATGAAAAAATTTTAAAGCAACAATTGATAAACATTTCCGTCTTGAAACAGATTTAAAATAGAGATCACAATAATATATCAACACTATTTTGCAGTTTCAAAATCATTAGCAATCACATTCAAGGTTCTGTTTTTACGTCTATTTCAAAGGAATTTATGTCTAATATTCAATCAGGAAAATCATTATCTTGACATGATCATTCTAATTCAAACCATCATATTTGAAAACGAGATGCAAAAAAATACCTTATCACACAGTAAGGAATACTTTCATTATGATACGATATTTAGCAATCAGTTACTTAATTTCCATAATAAACATATCATTGCTAATTCATGTTTACTTTATTGTAATGCTAACTCATAGGGACACTTTCTACATATTTGAAAAGTGTTTATGACTGTGACAGAGGTATCTTACTACAACAATATAGTCATATCGATAAGGAGCTCTATTTTCGAATTAATCTAATCATTTTATGTAGAAAAGACATGATAAATCTCTTTTATATGAAATTAGATGAATGTTGAACAAGGAAAACGACGTCATGAAACTTCTTTTTCTGTTCTGCCAATAAGTAAACAAAAAGATGTTAGCACAATCCTTGCAGGATTGTAATGTGCAGTTGCATGAAGCTGCTGGTATTATAAAAGAGAATATTAATCAATATATATATTTCGGCTTATGAATTGCTATCTACTTTTAATGTATGTC